ATAATTGTACTCAGTTTTCAATACTGTTACAACATAGAAAATTACTTGTGCTTAACTTTGTAGTAGAAAATTTATGGTTATATGAAAATTTACTGGCTGTATATATCAAACAATATATAAATTAGGGCAACATTAGAATCAGCTGACTTGATATATGGCTTATTGAATACTATGGAGTAATAATACTTAGGTCATATATATGTCTGTGTGTGGGGGGTAAACATGTCATTTGAATATTTAAAGAAATAGGTTAGTTAGTTAAATTAAAGTCAAATGAGGATAAACATGTCATTTAAATCATTAAAAAAATAATTTAGTGGGTCAAACCAAAATCAAAGGATAAGAATATCTTTTTACATATAAAAAGTGGTCTAACACACCTATCAATTAACTTTTGGGGTGCGGATAAAAAACGGAACAAACGTTTGTAATGTGAGTAATAGTTATTTTCGAAAAATGTTTGAGAGTGATATTTGACCAAATCTAAGAAGGTTTCACTGAAATTATTCCTATTTTTTATTTTTTGAAACTTTCTTAATTCTTGCGTTTATCAATAGTTTTTAGGTCACTGAATTTTCTTTTTTTGTACCATCAACCACTTATCCACCAATGAAATTATGAATAAAAATAAAAATGCGGCCACTTTTATTGAGATTCAATGAGATTTAAGTACATCATCATATTGTAAAATCACGTGTACCACGCAAGTTGAAAAAGTCACTAAATCGCGTGTATCACGCAAGTCCTTGCGTCTGTATGTAGTACAATTATTGCTACCAGGTGGTCCAGATATACCAAGCACTTGTGTCTGTATGTAGTACAATTATTGCTACCAGGTGGTCCAGATATACCAAGGACTACCGACTAATTTTAATTAGTAGGAGCAAAACCTAGATGCACAAGATGGAGGAAGAAAAAGAATAAATAATGATAAAAACATTTAGTTAATATGTGAATATCGTATTAATGTGTAATATATTTATATATAGCACATTATATGTTATATGGTCAAGTGCAAAAAATACTTCTATAATATATTTAATTTGGTGTATATAAATCTTTCTTGACACATTTGAATTATAATTTGACTAAATTGCCCTTATATACACATTTTATATATTATTTAAAAATGCATCATTTTATGAAATAACAAAATAGTCATTTAGTACAGAAGGGGTGCGATACGCACTGTAAGCATATTATATGGATGTTTTCTGCACTTTATAAATTGTTGTTGTTTTAAATCTTTTTATCTTAACTGTTAAATTTAATTGAGAACGTAATTTTATCGCGATTTGAATTGTATAATTATGGTAGGTGATTGAACACCAATTATTTATTTATTTTTTTAATAAAAATTGAATACCCATTTGTTGCTATGTAAATAAATTATATATATATATATATAAATTTATTGCAAATTCTAAAAGTTTAAAAATTAAATGTATATTGTTTATATATAATGAATAAGTATCTTTAATTTATTTTTTTAATTATATATTTAATATAAACTTATAACTATATTAAATTTTTAATTTTTTTCGAAAAGGTGAGAGAAAATCCTTAAAAGTAGGTTAAATATAATTAATGTGCACATAACACCTCTATACTGTGAGCTTATTAACACACACACTCTTTTGGGCATTTTTGATAGAGAAAAATGACAAAACATGTATTACAACATTACTTTATGTTAGATTTATGATTGAGGGGTATTTTCGTATAATTTTATAAGAATAGGAGTATTTTTAGCACACTTTTTAAAATAGGGATAAAAGTACTAAATAAAGTATACATTATGAGTATTTTCTATACTTGACCCTATGTTATATTATGTTGGATTGAATTATAATCAAATTGAATCTGCCATAATTTAAATTTGATTTGTTTAGTTAATCGATTATCCAATTCCATCGAATTATCAGGTTAATTAGAGAAAGATGAGAGAGAAAATGGATATATGTTGGATAATTTTAAAATAATTTATTATTCTTATCATGTATTCTAATTTATATATATATATATATTCTAATATATATATATATATATATATATTCTAATTTTTATTAATTTAATTTATATGTTTAAGGATACATTAGTGAAATATTAAGGGTTTTTTTTTTTTTTACCTGGGTCCTATCCTTTTGTATAGATTTTGATATTAGTCCATTTTTTAAAATATGTTAGGGATTGATTCTATTTTTAGATTTTTCCGTTAGTAAACAATGAGTAAATAATATTAATATTAAAAGTGCCTTGTTAAAACAAAAAAAAAATAAAATAAAATAAAATAAAAAAAAACTACTCTATTGCATCTTTGTTTGCTTTCTATTTCACCACTTTCATAGTATAGAAGGGAGGGAACTTTTTTGGATAAAAACTAATTGGGTTGCGAGAAAAAAACTTTCATCCTTCCACATGTAAAATTTATTTTATAAATATTGTTCTTTCAAATTGAATTTAAGTTTTAGCCTGCCGACCTATCAGTAATTAAGTAGTGCTCCTACTCTATGAATTTCTAACAAGAATTACACCCTATAAAATCTATCATTATACTGATCACATCCGCAAGATTATATATATATATATATATATATATATATATATATATTATACACATATAATAATTATTATTATAATTATAATAATATTATTATTATCAAGTTGTTTACATAACCATAAGAACCCGGATATGAGATATGAACCGATACTAAGAAAGTTCAACACCTTTTTGTTAAAAGAAAATAAAAATGTACGGAAAGAATTAAAAGGGCCGGCTAGTCTGAATTCTTCTTGGCCGCTCTGATAAACTGATTCAGTGGTGGGGTGAGAGAGAGAGAGAGAGAGAGAGAGAGAGAGCGAGGTGGGCTCCCAAGGTGATTAGGGATTGATAGAAAAAGTTACGTCACATCGAAATTAATTATCTTGGCCCTCATGACTTGTTTATTAAATTGGTTAGAAGTGTAATTTGTTTAATGATTTTTTATTTAAATTATTTATGATCTTTAATAAAAAATAAAAAATAAAATTAGATGTGAAAAACTCCCTCAATATATACAAGATGTGCAAAAATATCCCTCTAAGCAACAATTATATATATACACACACATTGTAACTCTGATCTCTATCTCTCCTGTCCACTATCTTTCTCTCTCTACAATAGTACCTCCGAAGACCGAACCCAGTGCTTTAACAAATTGGGATTAGAATTAAAGAATTTGATGAGAAATTTTGAGAAGAATTATTAAATATGAAGTTTTATAAAGAATTGGGTTTACAACGTGAACACGTACCATTGGCATTGCAGATTGACTTGTAAAATAATGGGGCAAGATTGAAGTTACGGATCCGCTTCGGTCCAAACAAATTTCTTTCTTCTTAATTTTATTTTATTTTTTTTTGGTGTTAATTAATCAATTGATATGGATGGGTATTTGGGTGTTAGAGAAACAGAGGGGTAGTGGTGGTGGTGCCGGGAAAATGTAGATTGAGAGAGAGAGAGAGAGTAAATTGAGGCTTATATAAGATTTAATAGAAAAAATGTCCCCAGATCATAATAAAATATGAAACAGGGAGAAAAATAGAGAAGAGAAAACATTTTATTTATTTATTATTTATTTATTCTTTTTATGGGGGTATTTTAGACATTTTAATTGCTAAATTGACATAGAATTTGTTGGGTCCTTTTGGAACAGCTCTTCCAATTTATAATTTTGATTCATTTTACCATTTAAATTATATATATATATATATATATATATATATATATATATATATATATCAGAGAGAGAGAGTAAATTGAGGCTTATATAAAATTTAATAGAAAAAATGTCCCCAGATCATAATAAAATATGAAACAGGGAGCAAAATAGAGAAGAGAAAACATTTTATTTATTTATTATTTATTTATACTTTTATTCCTTTTTTTATTCTTTTTATGGGGGTATTTTAGATATTTTTATTTCTTAATTGACATAATGTCCTTATTTGCACAAATTGAAATAACAGGGATTCTTACACATCCTGAATATAGTGAGGGTGTTTTTTGTACTAAACTCTTAAAAAAAATTATAAATCCCAATCCAACCAAGTTATTAAATAGTCTCTCGTCCACAAGATAATAAATTAAAAACACAAGTTTATATAGTTATTATTGAAGCCAATTAATAATGACAACTAAGAAGCTAATGTATATTTTTGCCAAGCTTTATATTAAAATGACCTAATATAAATGGGTTAAATTTACAAGACCCCCCTTATACTTTTAAAATTGTGCATAAAACCCTAATAGAATTGAAAAACTTACTGAACTAAAAAAATTTATCAAGTTACCCCCATATCAGTGACTCGTTAACTTGGTTGTGAAATGGTAAAAATGACTTTGCTATTTCCTTTTACATTACAATGCTGATAATAAAACTTTAAAATAATTTTTGTAATTTTAAACAATTTTGTAATTTAACATTATTTAATGGTCCTTTATTATTTTTGTAAAATTTTAAAATAATAATTTTCAGTATTTTAATTTGACATTAAATAATAAGGTCAATTTTGTTATTTTACAACCAAGATAACTGATCGGTCATGGATATAAAGGAATTTGATAATTTTTTTAGTGAGGGGTTTTTAATTCTACAAAGAGTTTTATGCACAATTTTAATAATACGGGGAGATTTTGTGATTTTAATCCTATATATACTCTCTCTCTTTTTTCTTCCCTAAAAAAGAAAAGGAAAAAAGATTTCTGTCACGTTTTGGGACAAGCGACGTCTCAAGGTAGGTCCAGTAACAAAAACAAAACCTCAAAAGCTAAGAAAAAATGCGACAAGCCATCTCAGTGGTTCATATGTTACATAATAATTTCGTGATCAACTGGATTTTTAATCACAATTTCTCCACTTGATTACGCCAAAATGCATGGCAGTGTCTTGTCTACTCCAGTATACAAGCTCTATATATAGGGTTAACATTGCATATCAGTTTGCACCAAACTACTTCTACAGAAAATGGCACTCCAACACTTCAACACTGTGCCATATTCTATCCCACACAAGCCTTTAACATATACTCTACCCAAACATTCTATCCCACACAAGCCTCTTAATGCCACTCATAAGAAGTTCTGGCAACTTCAATGCTCAGCTATCTCACAAGCTTCTTCCCAACCAGCCACATCCGGGCGACGATCCGCCAATTACCAACCCACCATTTGGAGTTATGATTTTGTGAACTCCCTAAAAAATTATCATGAGGTATGTGATTTAAATGTTGCATTTGAGAGCAGCAAATCGGTATCTTGAAATTGGACTAAATTTACTCCAATTTGAAGACCCTGATTCAGTGCTCCAAAATATAACTTAATTGTGAAACAGTACGTTTGTGTTTATCAAATGATGTACATAAAACTAACTCATTAGCACTGTGTACATTTGGGTGGGTATTAATTTAAGAATTCATGCCCCATTTTTTTTTTTTTCAACATAATTCATGCAGGATGAAGAAGTATACAAGGAAATGGCAAAAAAGCTGGAAGAGGAGGTGAGAATTATGCTTGATGAAGAAGATGCAAGGCCATTGACAGTGCTTGAACTGATTGATGACATTCAAAGGTTAGGCCTGGGCTATCGTCTCGACGTCAATATAAAGAAAGCCCTTGACAGAATAAGATCTAATGGTACAACAGAGAAGAGTCTTCATGCTACTGCCCTCAGCTTCAGGCTCCTCAGACAACATGGTTATGAGGTCTCTCATGGTACTCATTCTTTTTTTGTAAAAATTCCAACCCCTATAAAAGTTACAGATGAGGCATCTTCTTGGCCTATCATTTTACTTCTTGGCCTAACAATTTGTTCATCCTGACAAGCTTGTTATTTGATAAGATAATATTTCGGTGAGACATGCAGAAGTATTTAAGAGATTCAAGAATTCCAAAGGTGATTTCATGGCGTGCCTGTGCGAGGATGTAAAGGGATTATTGAGCTTGTATGAAGCTTCATATCTTGCTTTTGGAGGAGAAAGCATCTTGGATGATGCCAAAGCATTCACAAGCTTGCATCTCAAGAACCTCAATGAAAACATGGACTCAAACTTTAAAGAACAAGTAAATCACGCATTGGAGCTTCCATTGCACCATAGGGTGCCGAGGTTGGAAGCTAGGTGGTATATTGATTCATACAGTAAAAGGGAAGATGCAAATCACTGCTTGCTACTTGAACTTGCTAAGTTGGATTTCAACATGGTGCAGTTAACACACCAAAGTGAACTTAAAGATATGTCAAGGTAAGATCAAGTGCTTATGAACTTAAAGATAATTACTAAATATATATATACAATTTTTTAACTAAGATCATGCTCAAACTCTATAATCATCATAATCATATCCTTGCCTTAATTCAATAAGAATTGGTTGGCCACATAAATTTTCTGTCTCCAATCATTTTTCTTAGATGCCATTTTAATTACTTGCTATATCTAACTGTTTAGTATCAATTTTAATGATCTCATCTCATGTTAATTGTTTTTTGTCTCCCTCTCCGTTTCTTCCTTCTATCTATATGTATTAGGTGGTGGAAGGGGGTCGGTCTGGCAAATGAGTTGAGTTTCGTAAGGGACAGGTTGATGGAATGCCTTTTTTGGTCCGTTGGAATGGTCTTTGAACCTCAATTCAGTAATTGCCGCAAAGGGTTAACAAAAGTCACAGCACTGATAACTACCATCGACGATGTCTATGATGTTTATGGATCTTTAGATGAACTAGACCTTTTTACAGATGCCGTTGAGAGGTTTGCACTGCAAAAGAATCGCTTAGATCCATTATTTTTACGTACGTTCAAGATCGATTTACTAATGCCTACAAATTTCATTGTTTTGCTTTTTGAAATGGTGTATTAGATGGGACATTAATTCTTTGGAAACCCTTCCAGACTATATGAAGTTGTGCTTCCTTGCTCTCTACAATACTGTCAATGAAATGGCTTATGACACTCTTAAAGAACAAGGAGTGAACATCATTCCACATTTAACAAAAGCGGTATATATATATGTGCACATGTTGATGTCAATTAGATGTGACCGCCCAACTATAAAATGAAGTTTTTTTAGATTTTATGTTACAGTATATTCTTGTTGTCTACTACTAAAAATTTATATTTAATAGGTTTTATTTGTTTTATATAGATTCATCTTGTTTTCTCTTCATCTATAACAGTGGGCGGATTTATGCAAAGCATTCTTAATAGAGGCAAAGTGGTGTCACACCAAATACACTCCAACATTCGACTCCTATTTTGAGAATGGATGGCGTTCAGTTTCTGGGGTGCTTATACTAATTCATGCCTATTTTTTGATGAGCCGAAATATCACAAAGGAGGCTATGGACTGCATAGAAAATTACCATGAACTTTTACAATGGCCATCTGTGATTTTTCGACTTTGCAATGATTTGGGTACTTCAAAGGTAGGTAAAACACTCCCCTGGTTTGAAAATATTTTATTTATTTATTTTGTTCAAGACCGCCCCTCTCAAATAATTTTGTGTAGGCCGAGTTAGAGAGAGGTGAAACAGCGAGTTCAATACTGTGTTACATGTGTGAAAGTGGGCTTTGTGAGGAAGATGCCCGCCAACACATGATCAATTTAATGGAGGAGACATGGAAGAAGATGAACGAAGCTCGAGTAGCTGATTCTCAATTCGGAGAACCGTTTACTGAAGCAGCTATTAACCTTGCTAGAATTGCCCAATGCACGTACCAATATGGAGATGGGCATGGAGCTCCAGATTCAAGATCAAAGAATCGGGTATTCTCTATCATAATTGAACCAATAACGACACATACAAGACAGGAAAAAATGGTAAACTTCAATTCTTGAAAGCTGTCTTAGTAAGCAGACCTCAGAACTGAAGTTACCTATTGTGAGAGTTTGTACGTGTACTTTTTTTTTCTTTGGGTGTTGGGGGTGGGAGGTTACTCCCTTAATTGTAAGAAATTACAAAATACATTCTTACAATTACTCGTATTTTGTTTTGTTTGCCAATGAACCGAGTAAAGTGAGTTTTAGTTTGGTGGCTTCCATCTAAAAATTGAGCTCCGACTTGACGTGGTCATTTAATAGCAAAAAGTCAAATTTGATGCTATATTTGAACAATATCATCTTGGCCCGTGTATGACTGAACGTGGTCATTTCAAGAAGTTATACAAAATTATGATTATGAAAATAGTCATACGTTTATGTTCAAAAACATATACCAGTTATGTGGAATGGAAGTTTAATTTAAAGTTAATTTAGAAGGTTGAACATGTTTTACTTGCTCATTTATTTGATTTTTAAATTATTTTAATTTTATTGCAATAAAATAAAAATTAAACTCACAAGACAATAAATAAAGTAAATAAAATTTGAGAGATAACACCACATATTTCTAGCATAAGAATCATTGTTGGAAGATATTTGACAAACTCAAATGAACTACTAAAACTTTCACAGTCTCGAGCGAAATAATATGTTATCTTTGAAGCAAAATATAATGAACTCTGATTCGAGCTCACACACACTCATCCTACCAAAAACTAATTGTTGAACATCTCTCTGGCTTTGTGATTTTCCCGTCCGAACATTCTAGATTTCAGGCCTACTCCCTTAATCCTTGTAAATGGATTGCTATAGATATTGAGCATTCTGCAAGTGGTCTCACTCATTCGTAGTACGATTGAAAACTCCTCTAAACTTTATTTGAATGTGTAGTCGAAGATTATGGGTGTAAGTATACCCGAGTCCACATGGCAAACACCACAACATCAACAATGGCTCACATAACTTGATCAAATTAACGATCAACGGGCTACTCCACATTAGCAACAATAGCCTACATTTTATGGTCAACGGTCAAAGTTATCATGTCATCAGCATATAAAACTTGAATAGAAGATCGAAGATTTGAAGACCTGAGTTATGAGCAGAACTCAGGTTTACATGGGATCCGAGGAGGTACTTGGTTTGGTGGTTGAAATTCAGGATCCGCCGAGTCGACACTCAACCTAACTTGTAGAGAGATAAATACCATTTTGACTCCCGAACAAATTAATCATATCTTAATTAGTATTGCTTTATAATTATTTGTGATATTTATCTCTTTCAATTATTAATTCATATGTGATGTTACATGATGACATCATCGAGCCTCCCCCTTGGCTTATATAAGGAAAAGCTTTAAGGCCAAGAGGGGTAGAGCAAGAAATGAGGAAGCTAGTAACCTCTTACACATCGAGAGCTCTCTCAAATCCATATGTTCCCCACATTCCACACCTTCACTAAGAGAGTCAATGGTATATTTGTACATTGCTATATTCTTTCTCTCTCTTGAGTTTGCATGGATTTCCACCTCTCTCATTCCACCTTAGATCCTATTATGTTTTGTTTGATGCCTCACAATTTATATTTTAGTATGATTCTGAATGCGATACATACAAAGATCAAACCATGCTCCTGAACGGAACTTTGAATTAATCTTCGCTATATATCAGATCAAATAGAGAACGTCACCCTAAATCACTTGTGTCTTTACATGTGTGCTCTCATAAATATAAAATCAAATTTCTCTGAAAATCTCTCTAAAAACGCTCCAACAATAATCTAAAAATAAATAAATGTTAAAAGATGTTTTAAAAAAGGACAAGGACTTCTCTAAAAGTTTTGGTGCAAACAAGAAACTAAAAAGTTATCAAAAACTAAAATTCCACACATTTAGGAAAGTTCAACCGGTTAGAAATAAAGTTCAACTAGTTGGACTTTTAGAGAGAGTAAAATTGGGTTTTAGGAAAGTTCAGCCTATTCAGTTTGAAGTTCAGCCTATTCAGTTTGAAGTTCAACCTGTTTGACTTTACATACTTTGGAAAATTGCTTGTGTCCAACTTGCTACCGTAAGTTGGGCACTACCTAACTTAATCCTAACATTTACTTTTGGATATTTATTTTAAATTTATTGGGTTACGTCAGCAGGTTGGACACAAGCATTGTCCTTACATTAATAAGAGTGAATTTCTAAAGTATTCTTGTTAAAATATAAAATAGTATTTCGTAATTAGTAATAGGTGAATGTTAAAAGGATAATTTAAAAATGTTAAAAAAAAAAAAAAATAGCGTATCTATTTTTGAAATGTGAACATATATTTTGATATATTTCACAATAGAAAGATAAACAAAAATTTTGAAATGTAGGGAATAATATGTAGTATACAGATATACAAAAAGAAAAAACATGGTGAATATTTCACTGAATGACAATTTTTTTTTTTCCTTAAGTCATGTTTGACGGCTTGTCTCAACACAAGGATGTTGAAGGGTTATTATTATTGATATTATAATTATTTTTTAAACGATAGTAAGAATTAGCCTCCGATTTCACTCCACCAATTAAATGTCAAAATATAACATTCTATTTTTGTTTTTTTCCAATGTAGAGCATCATGCTTAGAAATTTTTAGCACCATTATATCTGTTTTAAACATATTATATTTAATTATTTCAATCATTTTCAATTTCAACGAGTTAAAAAGAAATAAATATGTTAAAAATTAAAATAAATATATCAGCACTGCTACACCACAAATCACGACAGCAAAAATTCACCCGCATGATACAACGAGATATTAAAGCATTACAGGACTGTCTTTTCCAAACACGTGATAAATAAAAGTAAAGCTTGAAAATGAGCTCTTAAAAATCAACATTCAATCAGTGTTGAATGACACAACAAAACGTTGTATGACTTGTATCACATTGAAAAGTAGTGAGGTGGACATTGTGAAATTGTAAACAAAGCCGCCTTACTTTGTCGAATTTGTTTTAGCGAAATTTAAATTTATTTGATACGGACATCTGATTTTTTTTATTTTTTGTTTTTTTTCTTTTTCCGACGACTCTAGTTAGTCAGACATGAAGTTAGCTCCGCGGCCTTCACAATCGATCTCATATCAACTCTTGCCACTGTGCCCCATTGTATTGTTTAAAATCAAAGTGTACCAGATTAAATATTGCTAAAGCCTATGGGCTACCACATAATCTACCTTTATATATATATATCGCCTAACTTTGTAGAATTTGTTTTAGCGAAATTTAAATTTATTTGATACGAACATCTGATTTTTTTTATTTTTTGTTTTTTACCTTTTCCGATGACTCTAGTTGGTCAGACATGAAGTTAGCTCCACGTCCTTCACAATCAATCTCATACCAACTCTTGCCACTGTGCCCCATTGTATTGTTTAAAATCAAAGTGTACCGGATTAAATATTGCTAAAGCCTAAAAGCTACCACATATTTGTCGACACCCATTTTGATATTTGGACAGTAAAGACATTGGACTGGAAGTATGCGGTATTAAATTTGGACTAAGCAATGAATTTGGGTTGAGACCTGAATTGTTGTTGGGCTGAAAATATGATAACATGATAAGCTTTGAATGTAGAGAAGAAGTTCGGTTTGATATATGGGCCGATTACAGGGTGAGTTTGAAGGAAACGGTTAGGCAGGTTCACATGGGGTATAACTAACATGCAAGGATATGTGTTGAATTTAAAAATGGATAAGGATTGCAGTTTTAATTTTTATCTTTTGGTTAAGTATAGCTAAGTGTTTAGGTTATCAGTAATTTAGTTTGTTTTACATTGATAGTTAGGAAGGCTATCAATGAATTTGATTTAAATTTAGTAGTTAATTATGTAATAGAGTTTGATGTATTTAAAATGCTTGTATTTATGAAGTTAGTTTACGTATTTTTCTATAAATAAGAAAAGAGGCATACTGAGATAGGGGTCCATCACCCTCAGAATCATTATTATTATTTGTTTGTTTTCTCAAGTTTTTTCCAATAATATATTCTTGCTATTTCTTCTCTCTTTCTATCTATATTAATCAATCTCTCATTCTATCTATTTCTCTTTTTCCTTCTATCTTTCTCTTTATCTCTCTTCTTGCTATATCTATTTTCTTCCCCTTTCTATTCTTTTGATACGTTTCTATAAATTTTTTACTAGAAAGTCCTTTTAACTAAGGCATTATTGAACTCAAAAGAGGAATTTTATTGTTCCCTTTTTCCTCGCATCGTTTGAAAGTCAACCTTCTCAAAGGGACTAACGTTGACTATTTACAATCGAACCACACAAGTGGTTCTAGCAAGCCCGTTTTACATCAAATTAAGATCGGCTCTAACTGGCCGATTTTAGGGTCAACATTTTTGGCACGCCCAGTGAGACCCACTAGGTGAGTGATTTATTTACAACAACGATGCCTCCCAAGAGGAATACAAAGAATACGAATTCAAATGAAGAAGAAGAGGAGGAAGTCCAACTAACTGGTTAAGCCGGATCTCATACAGCAAGAGTTTCCTTCCCATCAGATGCTCCATTTATGCAAATACTTGAATCCATTCGGTAGGGAATGGAAAACTAGGAGGCCCGTTTGGGAGCTCGTATTGATAGGATGAATCAAAAGGTTAATGCTCGCATGGATGGGATGAATCGAAAAATGGATGCAGTATCAAATCAACTATCGGTGGTTCAAAGCCGATCTGATCAGGCTGAAGCTTCAAATGTGCATGAGTCATTGGTTCGACAAATTTCTTCATTAAAGGTGATTATTCCTGAAGAAGTAAGGACAACAATGACGGGAGCAATGCTGCAAAATCCAACTCTCGGAATGCCAATCAGCATGATGCCAATTCAACCGTTGGGTATTACGGTCGGCAGTGTGCCGAATCCTACTCTTGGTGTGCCGATTGGTAATCCACCAATATTGTCAGATCCGCCGGCAGTAACTGTAGTGCCGATGTATCAACCACCGGTGATTAATCAACATAATCAAAATGTGCAGCGTCCACCAGTGCAGCCGATTCTAGTGGGGAGAGATCGGCAAAAGATGGTTGAAAACCAAAACCAAGGCAAAGCTAATCTATTGGTACCTCTGGCGGCTGCTGGGGGGCAAGGCAATGCGAATCAACAACGAGAATGGGTTAATCCATTCGTTCCATTGCACCCAAATGATCTTCCGGGACAAAATGCAGGGATCGATAGGGC